GTTTCTGTCCATTGTGATAAATACCTTTCCCTAGCTTACATTTACTCAGTGACATTTGATCAGCTCTCACTATATGGGGCAGCTTGTTTAGAGTTGAATTTGAAAAGATGACCTTCAGATGCTTGACTGAGTTCATGACACACAGTTCATAATTCTAATTGCTTTGTGACGGGGTAACAAATTAAGCTGGCCCGATGCAGACACAGTTTCTTGGGATGAGATACGAGTTGCTTTTCCAGCCATCTGGAACAGTCAAGGAGAAACGTGGCCTTTAATACAGTAGTTCAGCTGGCTGTCACTCTCAGGCACCAGAGGAATAAAAGAACAGTGCACATGGACTCACTGATCCAATACATGTGAAAAATATGCTAGGTGGTTTTTTAAGGAATAGCTGAACCCAATTTAACATTTACTCACCCTCAGGCCATCCAGGATGTAGATGAGTTTGTCTTTATCGGAACAGATTTGGAGAAATGTAGCATTACATCACTTACTTACCAATGGATACTCTGAAGTGAATAGGTTACGTCCGAATGAGAGTCCAAACAGTTGAAAAAACATCAAAACCCACTGGTGAGCAAGTGACGTAATGCTAAATTTCTCTAAAACTGTTTCAATGGAGAAAAAAAAAAAAGAAGAAGAAGAAGAAAAAAAAAACTAATCTACATCTTGGACGGCCATTTTTGGGTGAACTATTCCTTTAGATGCTGCAATAGCACGGTATAGTATGTAACTTTATAAGTAAACAGAGCAACACGGTTTTCCAGATGCAGTTTATGCAAAAGACAGCATCAGGGCTTATTTCCTCAGTAAAGAATGACTCAGCTAATCTTAAATCCAAAGACCATCTGCTGGGTCTGTTTCTCAGACTACAGTACAACTGTTGTGGCCCAAATATTCTCTACAACAACCTCTTACCTTCGATCATAAATCATTTGATTGTAGTAAGTGCACCCCATTGAGAAAAGCGACCAAGTAACCTTCAAGGCTGCCCTTGTTTGTCTGTGCTTTGGATGGATTGCTTCAGATTAGATAGTTAAACTTCCTTTTGTGTTTTTGGGATGCACATCTTACTCACTGGAGCTTGAATTTCATCCCCAGATCAGTTTGATTTGGCAGAGCTGTATAGTTGGGAGTTCTCAATGAACATCCAGCTCCATTTGGAGGAGGTCATGCATTTGTTAATTGCCTATTGGCCCAAATCATATCAATGCTTGTCAGTGGCATTGTGCAAATCCTGGCTGTACAGATGGATGCTTACTACTACACTGGATGCCCTCTATAAATGTATCGCAGAACTGAATATGGGTCAACCATATGATTCAGTTCAATGCTCCAAATCAGACGGCTGCCTTTATCATGCAAATGAGGTTTGTTTAGAGTGAGTTTCTGTACTTTTGTTGTATGACTTATTTTGAAGGGGAAGATACTGACTGATTAAATACATAGGCCTATATGCTCTTTTATCCTGCTGTTGAAATAGTAATCCCTCTTTTTATGTCTTTTTTAATGAAAGTACTTCATGTAACAAACAGAGCTAACAAATTGTTATGATCTGAATGGAAGGGCCAAGAACCCTCCATACTTAAAGATCTTATACTCATTCACAGATTCTTGAAACAAAATCCCTGTAACTGATCTATTCCATCTGGATAGGGATATGCCATGGCATTGAAGGTCATAATAGTAAGTTTGTGTTTAATAAATCAAAAATCCTCAGTACAATGAAGGATGTGCAGAATTTTAATTTTATGTATAGTATATGTGCAGTGTGGGCCTTGCAGATTATCAAATGATCTAATTTGGCAAACAGGCAAAACCCATATCCGCTCAGTGGGATTTTCATGTGAATTCTTTGTAAACCCAAGTAGCTTAAAAATAATCGAATATTAATGGTGTAAGCTGAGTTATATTGGGAGAATCTGCTGGTTTGTAAAATACACACTCTCTCAGTCAATAGCGACTAACCGCTCATGATATCTCTAAGCTACAGCTGCAGCTTGTGCTTTAAAATAACCATGATCATTTAATCTTGAGTTAACCCTGATTTATTGGCATGCAGCATATATGTAACGCTGAAGGTTTTTGAATAATTTCACTATCCACAGACACTGGCATTTTTTTTGTTGTTGTAATAATATGATAATGTAATACTTTCTTTATGCTATCCAAAAGACTGTATTTAAAAATGCTATCATTTAATATTGTTTACATGAAATCAAAGTTAACTTGCTATATAATCATAAACCAGTGTAGTTAATGGGTATTAAAGGGAGCTAAGCAATTATTTATAATATTTTTAACATTTGTATTAAAATTATTGCAAGGCATTTATTTATTTTAGTTTTAGCAAACTTCCTTAATAATACCACAAGATGGCGACATTTATTCACTATATTCATTATAGATATGTTTAGGTCAGTAGGTTATATATTAGGTTTGTGGTGTAATTCTTTACAGAAAAATAATACTCATTGATCATTTTCATTATGAGCACCAAGTCTCGTTTAATAGCATACATTAAAGCATTATTAAAACACACATGAAAATGGACATGAAAGAAGGAACAAATCAAAGCACTTTTGACCTCTTTGAAAAGCTACAATAAAACGACTTTTATCTTTCTAACGTTAGTGAATGCGGATGATGACGTGACCAATTCAAAGCGCGCGTGTCCCTTTGAATAAGTGTCATCAAAGTTATTCCTTTATTCTGCAGACCTATTATGATAAACATTTAATATAAACTATAAAACTTTTTTCACAAATGAGATTATGAGTTTATATAGTTTTATTAAAATTGTAATTAAAAAAAATTAATTTATATATTTACATAAATCTGTTTCCATATGGTTTCCATGGTATTTTAATATTTCTTTATTTCTTTATTTTGTAGGCTAGATCAAAACAAAATACAATTAAAATAAAATAAAATTTAAAAAATGTACCTTGAGGTAAAACTTTTTACAGAATGTATAGCCATATATATATACATATATATATATATATATATATATATATATATATACAAAATAGATTTTTATCATACTACTTTATTGTAAACAACTATTGCTGTAATGTCAGTAAACTGTAAAAAAAAAACAATAATCTGATGTATGCAGGCCACTAACTTCTACCAAAGTATTGAAGTGTGATCAATAAACATTCATAAGTAGTATCATCACGGGTGAATTTCAAGTGCCAGGATAAAAGGGTTTAAGGATCTTCAAGTGGATCTTCAAAAGTTAATTTCCGTTGACTTCCACCTTTACAAAGAGGTGTTAATGGACCAATATTAAATACATTAATACCTCAGTTAAAACGATACAGGGGGCACAAATACAACTCTCCAGCTCCATGTCATTATTGAGAGAGCACATAAATAGTCACCGCAGCTTCTGTAGGCCCCTACTTGAACATGGCAACTCAGAAATGTTCAAACTTCTCTATTGATTACATCTTGGGAGACGACAGCAAACAAACAGCAGAATCACCTGGAGTGGATCATCCAGCATCTTCTCATGATTTCCCAGGACACTTGACCAAACTGGGCATACTCTACTGGGATGGATCTAGAGGTCATGGTGAGCATGCAGCACTCATGCTGAAATTTCAGTCTCCATCGTGGAATGCAGGAATGTACAGCTGCTGTGTTCCAGTATTATCAACCCACTTTTAATTCAAATTACTATGCAGGTCAACCGTGGCCTTTTGCCGCATCAGGTATGATTTTTTTTTTTTTAAACTAGGCCTATAGGCTATTTTATTTAAAAAGTGTAATTCATTTTTGTTTATAATTTATTTTATTTTTTTAATCTACCTTTAGGTTGTGATACAGCTGAGAATCACTACCACCAAACTGTAGCTCAGAGACAGCGCAGTCGAATCCGAACGGTTTTTACCGACAACCAGACGGAGCAGCTCGAGCGGCTCTTCGCATTCACCGACTACCCGAGCGCTGAAACCCGGGCGGAGTTAGCCCAGAACACCGGCCTCAGCGAGGAGACTGTGCAGGTAAGAAAGCGCTCTTTATCTGTAGGCTAATAATAGGCTATTTCATAATATGTGCTAATGATTATATCTGAAAATAAAATACGATTTTAGGTCTGGTTCAAGAATCGACGTGCACGTAGAAAGAGACAGACAACCTGCCCAGACAAAAGCCTCCGATGATCTCACGAATCAGATTAATTTATGACTGAATCATATCAACACAGACTCAGTGGCTTTTAAACATTGTTTTTAAAAGTATACTTTTGTTTACAGTGTAAAAAAAATATGTAGGCCTACATTTTATACGAATAAACATGCTTTCTCAGTGAAATAAACGTTTTTTGTTCATATTTTAATTATGGTTCTATTGTAATTGGAGTTAAAGATTTGAAGTTCTTACACTTTTAGAAGCAAACTATTTTAGCAAAATATCTAATTTAGTTCCCGTCTTTTATTCGCTCCGTCCTTGACGCGCATGCGTTAATTTTGTCTCTGCCTATGCGAAATGGAAATTTCACATGCGTACCGAAAAGTTTAGGGACGAATGCACCTTTACACTCCTGATAGATAGGCTATAGATGATGAATTGTATAATCAATCAAAACAACACATTCAAACTAAGTATAAAACACTAATGTTTATTAGTCATATATCCATAATCAGGATAGAGTTTCACTTTAAGTAATTAATAAGCTTTTTCATGCTGATGTACTGTAGGAAAAAGAAACCTGCAGATGTATACACAACATGCAGTACAGTTATGTTGTCCATCAAATCTAAAACTGAATTCATGATAAGATCCACATTAATCTGATTTACAGAGTATAGTTAACATGAAAACACAAAACACAGGACCTTAAAAAAAATTATTAAAATATATTTTTTCTCAGACGAATAAACAAATGTTTACAAATGAACTATACCAATTACACAACTGGATATAAAATGACAGAAAGCTTTGCCGACAATCCTAGATGTCACACTGAAACTCTCTGAAAGCGTGGAGGGTGAGCCAGTCAGTGCGAGATACTCACATATGAAATAGTCAATTTACAGTCATACTTTTACTCTCCTTTTGGCATCAAAAAACGGAATGTGACTTGTCCTGAAATTAAGGTAAATAACAGTGACATACTGATGCTTTCTACAACTTTTAGTCACCATAAAGCAATATACTGTACTCTATGTCACAAAATGATAATGCACAATTTAAGGTTTGTTGTGAGCTGACCTTTGCACTCCATCAGAAGATGCACTACTCACTACAGTGACATTGCTACCACACAGATTCAGTTGTTCTTTAATGAAATAATGGCATGGTGGCTGAAGAAATCAAAAGCTGTCCAGACCTGCTCAAGCAGTAAATTTTCAATTCTGCAAGTTGCTCTTTTTTTGTAAATCAGTGCAGTTGACCAAGTGTTCACAATAAAGGAGAGTGCACAAGGCAAGCTGTTGTTTTTTATTCTCTCCTTAACTAAATCTGCCTGCTCTGGGATCACTATAGGAATAGGTAGTCTGGCCTAACAGCTTTTATACATTAGACTGTAGATGATAGATGAGGATTTATGTTAAAATATAAACTGTACTTCACTTTAAACTATACTAGATGAACTATAATTTGTTTTTGTTTTGTTTTTTGGTGAGAGAAACATGATTGTGATTCGTATTTTTATTTGGGTTTATAAAATAGACAAATCCTTTAATTGTCACCTCGTTTTTTTATGAAATGTCAAGAATGCCTCCTCTCAAGACCTGCATTATTGATGCGTGGTTCTTAACAGTACTTTATTTTAAGTAAGAGATTATTTAGCTTTTGCTATATCATGGAGCTTGCGCTTTGGTTCTGTGGTTGATTTTAATTTAATGAAATGTGATTTATTAGCTTATAATATCTAAAGCAGGCATCTCACCTCATTTCAGAGCAGTTTATGACCTAAAAACGTGCCCATACCTGCTTATTTCATGCAACATATTCTATATTTTAAACCATACGCTTACAGTTTCACTGTAGATGAAGAAAGCATTGGGCTCCAATGGCAAAACCCCTCTTTTTCACATCGGCAGCATCAATATTTTCAGACTACAGTTACAATGAAACATTTTATGTTTTCAGATATTCACTAATAATAATATGTCACCTATTAGTTCATTTAAAGGCATTTGAAACTTAGGAAACAAAGTCTGTATACAATAAAATACTGTAAAGTAAGACAGTAAAGGTGCATAATACAGCAGCATGTTTACAAACAAAAAGCACCTTTACAAATTAAAATAGACATACAAGCCTAGTTTTATGTGGATTATGACTGTATTATCAAGCTTGAATACTGCCAATAATCTACCCACAGCGGTTTAGCATAAAAATAAAAAAAACTGATAGAGAGATGTGAATGGCTTTTAGTAGGAATGATTTTGATTTCATAAAAGATTGTTCATCTATAATTCAATCATTGGAATGCAGGACATTAGTTACTTGACAAGGCACTATTTTTTTGCTATTGAATTGCCGTCAAAGGGGCAGGACAGCAGTCTGGGTAGTTCACATAGAGAAGCACATATGAATATTGGTAGTACACAGAGTGGGCGAGATTTTATCTTGAGGAGGAACAGAAAGAGGAGGGAGATATAATTAAAGATGTAACCAGTGGATTTAGGTCTGCATCTCTGCACGGAGCATCCAGGGAAACCAGCAACAGAACAGCAACCTGCTGTAACAGAAACGGATCATGAATATAAAATGCTGTCGTTTAATCTTGTAACACAGGAAACATTTTAGATTCACAGCTGCAGCCAAACGGATATATTATTTGTGGGACACAAGCATACCTGGATATGGAACTTTCAGATGTTATGTCTTTCGGAGATCGCATCGCATTAAAATTACGCTTCGGCTGGGACACTGGAGAGGAGGACGAACACAGACAAACATTACAACCATGTACCTGAGGCTGTCATGTGGGACTGTGTTGTTCATTCATACAGTGGCGGCTCGTCGGGGGAGGCAGGGGAGGCACAGCTTCCCCATAATTTTAAGGTGAAAATGGGAGGAGGACGATTTAATGTTAATAAAATTCACAATTCATTTCAGTTCATGTCTCAGAATGTGTATTTTTTGTTTGTAATTTCACAG